TCATTCTATCGGGAGATGTTTGTTGTACCTGAGAATACGTTCTTCCTGGAGTTGGTGGAAAAATTGTAGACTCCCCCTTACCATCTAGGGGGTCTGGGGGAGCGCTCAAGGCTCAACGCCAAGCATTATTTCCGGTATTACGTATTAAACGTAAAAAAAAAGCCATCTGGAGGAGGGGGGGGGGAGTTCAACTAAAAAACTCCCTTGATTTAGCTACGCTCATTTAATTTTAGCGTGTAATTTACTTTATTTTTATATTGAAGAGGTATTTTTTTAGCATCAAACCCCACTGAAGTTGGGTTTTAACTCAAAACCCCTTTAGCTACGCTCATAGCATTTTGAGTGAGTAATTTGCTTGTTTTATATTGAAGAGATATTTTTTAGCTTCAAACCCTCGGAGGGGGGGGGGGTTTAAACACAAAACCCACTTCGGCTACACTCATAACATTTTGAGTTTTGCTTTTTTTTTTTTTTATTGAAGAGATATTTTTTACCTTCAAAGCTTTAAACTTAAAATCCCATTGGCTGCGGTGAATTAAAATCTTACCTAAAATAAACAAAATCAAAGCAAAATATCAGTCACTAAATTTTGACCCCCCCCTGGGAGATTTCATTTCGCTTATGGTGCTATATAAGATGAAATGGGGTGAAGACACGCATTAACCAAGATATATATTAATATTATGAAGACCAATAGAAAAGAATAGACTACGTTGGGCAGGTCCCCTTGAAAGAATGTCAGATAATAGAGGAGCAAAAATTTAACACCTGCAAAAACCGAAAGGCAGGCGACTGAAAGGCAGACCCCGAATGCGATGGGTTGATGATGTGGAGGCAGATCTATAACAGCTTGGGGTTCGGGCATGGAGACGAAAGGCTAAAGAGAGATCTGAGTGGAGGGATGTGTTGAGGCAGGCCAGAGCCCTTCATAGGCTGTAGTCCCACTTGGATGGATGGATGTGGCATAAGAAATGCCTTTATTTATTTTCTAAGTATTTATATAAGGTCGTGCACTAACTTATGTATAGCCAATAAAGTACAAATGTTACCAATCAGCCCAGTTCCAAGCTCACAAGTCCTCAGAGCATCCTGCAGTGCTGCTACGCTCATGAGACACTGTGTTGTTTGGTTTCGAAGGGCATCAGCCTCCAAACGCCATTCTTCTAAGGACTGTGTCAGATTCTGTTCTGCTTCTTTGAGCTGACTTTGGCATTGGCAGTACATGTGTTTGAGGTCATGCTTCCCTGTGCTAACATTCTGCAGACAGTTGCTTGTGTCGTTTTGTTTGCGGTGCCCGTAAGTTCTTTCTGGGAGAAGGGAGAGAGAGGGAGAACTCGTGATAGAGAGATGTGGATTGGGAGCACGAGAGAGCGAGCGAGAGAGAGAGAGAGAGAGAAAACTTATAAATAGGACAAGCAAAATAATATTAAAAAAAAAAAACTTGTATTAAGTATGTCAATTAGTTTGGATAAGTCGGTAATTAAATTTTCTGGAAGAAAAACGTACAATGCGAATAATGGCCAGCTCCTCTACCACCGAAGCTAAAGCCACCTTAACCTGCGATATTTGTGGACGGAAGTGCCTCTATAAAATAGGGCTCCAAAGTCACATGAAAAAGTGTGCGAGATGAACCATAGTCGTTCTACGACTGAAGGAGGCCAACAATAGATCTAGAACAGCAATAATAAATCTGTGTGATTAGAAATATTTTTTTTTTTACCAATTATTTTTGTTTAGCGCAACTTCATGTATTTTTTAGCTTTCTCAAAACGAAATGATCTTTTCACTTGCCTGGACCAGTTAGAAAGCGGGAGAAAGAACGGGGCATCTGGGTGATAGCTTTTAAATGTATTTTTTAAAACATGAATTTGAACTTGTGGGCTAAAGTCTTCTCAATCAAGTACAATTTCTTTCCTTTGTTTGAAATACCAAATCAAATATTTTTTTACCAATAGTTAATTAACAAGTCATTTTTTAAAAAATTGATTCTTGTGTTGTCAGGTAAAAGAAGTGATTGTGCAAAATTTCAGCTTGATCTGAGATTGAATGTCGGAGAATTAACGTGTACAAACTTTTGGCCAGACAAGAGTTAGTTGATATAGGCATTGTAAAAAGTGAGCTGGGGAACTTATTTGATAAAAAATATTAAGTAAAAGAAAAGGGGAAAAAAGTATAAGCGTCTCATTCGGACACAAGTAACGTGTAGAGAAAAAAAAAACAAGCACTACTCACTCGATGCTATTTCGTGACAGGTGAGCACAGTGACACTGAAAACCATTACGAACATTCTCAGTCGCTCAAGGGTCCACATCCTCATCGTAAATGTGACCAACTGTCTCAGCCAACAGTCCCTCCTGGTTGTATTGATCTATGAGTTGGATCATAAGGCCAAGTTGCTATCAACTTTTTAATGCTGACAATTATAATACCCGAATCCTTTTTTTTTAACTCACTCTATCATTCTGTCTGGTGAAATGTGTGTACACATTATTTCTCCCAAACCCATTATCGGATCAAGTTGAAACTTCGCAAAATTGTTCATTGGCATAGACAAGGCATGAATACATTTTAAAAAGTAACCGATTAGTAACTTAATTACTGGTCATTAATTATTTTGTTTGATATCAACAAGGGAAACTAGTCCTTCAGTATTCACAGTCCCCTAAAATAATTATTAATGCTAACTCTGTCTAATGAATTCTTCGATCAATTTCATACTTTAAACAGTTTTTTTTTTGGTAACTAACAGTACATGAATCAATTTAAAAAATACCCAATTAGTTAATTAATTATTTTGTTTGATATCAAATAAGAGAAATAACTTGTACATTATATATTGATTGATATAGTTTTAAGGGCGGCGTTCTTCTCTTTAGATAAGCCTTTTTTTTAAATGATATTTTTTAATATCCTGCTTGTTTTTCAATCGATTAGACATTTTAAATAAAACACTTTGATCTGGGGTGTTTGGTAAATACTTTTTTCACCTATTTTATGACAGGAATTATTTCTTTAACTTACATGCGGGAATTCCGCCACAGAGGCGGACAATATCCAGGAAGACAAATGCCAAATTCAATTTGAAGATGACTATATTTTTACAAAACTATAATGGTCAAACCAGAGTTTTCCTTGTGTGGTCAATTGAGTTGTTTTTCAGGTGATGTACATTATTGATTTGTATTTTGAAATAGCAGTACAGTTTCCATTCAGTTATTTTATATTTTTTGTCACCCTTTTAATTTTCAAAGAGAAAAAAAAAAAAGTTCATTTTTCTACTAGGATAGATAAACAGCTAAGTTAAAAATATGAAAAACATTTTTAAGCGAAACAAACAAAGCAGCTAGCAATGGTTAGGTTACAATAGTGACATTAATGTCACCACACAATAAAAGTATTATAACTCTTGTTGACACATAAATCAAGAGTTCTTTGTTCTTTCCAGTGATTTACAATCATCATTGTCAGCATTGTATTTGTTAATTTCCTTTTGAACTTTGATCTCACCTCTTCTGTGCTAGAAATCAATTCGATCGTTAAAAAAAAGGTTTCTTAGCAATGGACCTTATTCACTAATCGTAAGCAAACAACATTTAGCCATGTCATAATATTGATAAAACAATGGAAATTACGCATCACGTGACAGCCTTTGTGGATTACGTAATTTGTATAGAAGATAAAGAGAACCACGTGGCAAAATGTTTGTTTACGATTGGTGAATGAGGTCCATTCATCTTTCATTTTTGGACACGTTAAATATTCAATTAACCTTTGATCTTTCGAATTTGGGTTTCAATCTTGTATCGGAAGATCCGAAATGTTACGTTTTTTCGTTGAAACTGTTTTTGTATGGCGGAACTTTCCTGCTTTTAGCATGCTCAGTACGCTAGGGTTGTTGTTGAACGGTCCGTCGACTTCTTGCGCTAAACTTCTGGTAGACAATAACACCGCTGGAGATGTATTAGATTGTAACTTGTAAAGCTTGAATAACTTCTTTTGTGAACGAAACTAAATATAACTTTTGTTTTAGACATTGATGAAATGCAATAAGTATAGCAGACTTTAGTGAAAATATAAAAAGGATAACTCACTACAATAACACATCCTTTCAGTCTCACGTTCTGGGGTCGTCTGTCCTAACTGAAACTGCTGACAACAATGCTACTTATCTAGCGTCATTCACAACCAATGGCTAACCTCTTCCCACCATCACCATAGAAACACACATTCCATAACAATGGTCCAATCTCTTGTGTGGATCAGTGGAGACGAGGGGTATCTGGGAAATATGTGGGGGAAGGGGTAACTGAGACAAGGTTTTCGTGATGCATTTAGAGTTTTAGACGCTAACCAAACACTATCCTGCGCGACTGGGGAATTCCAACTCGTACCGATGACGTAAATAGGTCTTTGTACAATGCTAAATAGAGGACCATGAGCTACCTATCGGTACTAAATAGAGGACCATGAGCTACCTATCGGTACTAAATAGAGGACCATGAGCTACCTATCGGTACTAAATAGAGGACCATGAGCTACCTATCGGTACTAAATAGAGGACCATGAGCTACCTATCTGGGGTCAGGGTTATGTATTCTATGATGGATTAGTTATTGATCGTCCTTGTTTCACCGTGCTTCATGTATTTAAAGTTCAGTCAAATTAATATTCAATTTGTAGAAATGATGAGTATTTGCGGTTTCTTTATCGCTTGATGACTAGTCTATTAAACTGAGTTTCAAAGAATTTAACTCCAGGAAAATATATTCAACTCTTTGTCTCTTCAGTGTGATCAAGTAGAGGTATAGAAACACGAACTCGCATATGTTTTGCAACTTGGGAAGACTATACTGCTCTTCAGAATATAATTGTGACTACTAGCGTAATAAGCATGCCAATAAACAATGGAGTCAATGCACTGAAAAATAAAAGGAACACAATTTCTATTTGACTTCATTGTGGTTTATTGATACTAAATATTTAATTCACACATGCATGAAAACAGATATTATGAGATGTGGCGAGTGATGATGTTATGGTCATCTGTTTCTATGACCAACGGTTAACGAGCTGGGTGTCATGTGGGCAGCACCAACTAAAGTCAGGTACCCATAAGGGACTCAGGGGTACCCTAAAAATCCCAAAGTTCAAAATCCCAGCCTTCACTAAGAATTGAGGCATCACTAAGATTTGAACACAGGACCCCAGGTTTTGGAAGCTAAACTTAACCACTCTGCCACCCCGCCCCCTGGCGAGTGAATTGTGGGATTCTTTATTGTTTTGTTTGTTTTTTACATTGAAACTTTGCAGCGACTGTGACGGAAGTTTAAAAAGTGGACTTTCAAATAGATAGGAAACAAATTTTAGTTGATCGAATAGCGCCTTGTTAGGCAACTTTATTCAATAGTGTAATACAAATATGTTTGTTCTGTTATACCAACAGCGACAACAGTGAACAGATTTCCTTTTGTTGATAAATGTATTCAACATGCAACCAGTGTTAACCATTGAGTTGACCAACACATTGCTGTTTTACTTGCATTATGTTCTGGTAATTGTGCTAGTTTGTAGTTGCAAGTTAACTCAAAGGTTTTCTTTAGTCAACACTTTACATTGAACTCAGTATAAGTTTACAAACAAGTTTAACTTACATAAACAATTCACCCGGTATATATAACAGCAATAGAAATATGTGTATACATTAGGACTCATAAAAGAAAATCTCAGATCATCAACATTTCACTAATAACACAATACATAAATTTCTAATATAAGTAATAAGACAAATGTAAAAAGCTTCACTAAAATAAATTTCAACAAATTAGTAATATCACATTATACTGTCCTAAAATTACACAAAAAGAATTATTATGTAAAAAAATATATGTAATGAAGCATATGAGCTACATTATTCATTACTGTAAATATGTAAGGTCACGATAATGAATCTATCAAGATGAAAGTATATTGAACAATGTTCCCAGGTTTGAGACCCGCTCATCACCATCCCTAAGGAGGCTTAGGCTATAGGGTGTCCTTAACAGTAGTATAATTTCTCAACAAGACAAAACGATAAAATCTTTGATGGGAAATCTCTGTGCAGATCATCTTCAATATTTGTCCTGTTCGAACACAAGCTAGTTAACCAGTCCAGTGGTGCAGGTAAGCTAGTTAACCAGTCCAGTGGTGCAGGTAAGCTAGTTAACCAGTCCAGTGGTGCAGGTAAGCTAGTTAACCAGTCCAGTGGTGCAGGTAAGCTAGTTCACCAGTCCAGTGATGCAGGTAAGCTAGTTCACCAGTCCAGTGGTGCAGGTAAGAAGAAAAAGGAAGAACCCAATCTTAAAAGGTTTCACTGTGTTGTTCTAGAGGATTTAAATAGAGTAAGCTATAATAATAAAACAGCAGACAGAAAATACAAAAAAAAAAGATCTAGCAAGTTGTAATTTTTAGAAAATATTTTCAATCCTTGTATATTCCAACAACATTTCAATACTTGGTCTGTCATAGGCATTATCACTTAAACAATCATGGATCAACTTTCTGAAGTCATCACGCAGGATGGCTTCATTTTCCATATTGGGTTTTAATCCTTTGTCTCCAACATGTTGCCTTAACTGTGGGACATCTAGGTCCTCGAAGGGCACCTCCTCCAATAACAGCTCAATCAGCGTGAGGGCCAAGGAGTAAATATCAGCCCTCTTCATTTCGTCAACATCCAGAAGCTCACCTCGAAGCACTTCCGGGGCAGAGTATCTTGGCGTCCCGACATTCCTCATGGCCTGAAAGTTGGAGGTGGTGCTCTCCATTTCAGCTTTTAGCATGCTCAAGCCAAAGTCTGTCAGCTTGGCTAGGACAGGCTCCTCTGGAACAAATGTCGGCCCTCCAGGTACATTATTCAGTAAAATGTTGCTGGGTTTCAAATCACAGTGAGCGATGTTCTTGAGGTGAAGATAGTACAAGCCGCTGGAAATGTCAATTGCAATGTTTTGTTTGTCATGATCCCCAAAATCAATCTGCAAATGGATTAAAGAAAAGAGTAAAAAAAATCCCCTTTCAGACATTGTGGTCTATAGGGCAGATAATGTAAAGGTCATCTGTTTCTGTGGCCTACGGTTAACAAGTGTGTCATGTGGCCAGCACGACGACCAACTGCCTTTACTTTTCCCAAACTAATGTCAGGTACCCACTAGGGACTCAGGGGGCACCCTTAAAATCCAGAAATTCAAAATTCCAGTCTTCACTAAGATTTGAACCCTGGTTCAGAAGCCAAGTGCTTTACTGCTCAGCCACAGCGCCTCCCGGAGCTGTGACTTGGCAATTATTGTTCTAAACTGCCCACAAGTTGCGACATCACAGGTCAGTACTGAGGCCTACTATAATGATTGATCTTGAATCAAATCTTCTGGTAAGCCACATTTTCCCCTAAAAACTTAGTTTACAGGCATTTTCAATACATGGACCCCTTATCTTTTCAAAAAGGCATTTAGTTTAGTTTTATGTGTAAGGAGTATTTTTTTTAATATCTGTTATAGTCTCACTGTGCCTTGAGACTACATTTTATGTGTAAATAGGGCTTTATTAATTTAATAATTACTATTCCCACAAATTATGTTTCATTTATTTTATTTATTCGTCAAAGAAGGTGAAAGGATAAACTGCACTACACACTGCTAAGGGAGCAGTAAAAGTGGAAAAAATTATTTGATCATTGCTGATGCTAGTGATTTTAATAAGAGGCAGTTTAATCATCTAAAGAGTTATTAATAAAATCCGTCATCTAGTTCAGATTCAAAACTGATAAGTAAATATTTCCAGTGTATTTTTTTACACAAAGAAAAAGAGGGCCTGGTATGAATGAGGTTGCTTTATTTATGTTTTGACTTACTTCCTTTATATGCAGCGCCTCATGTAGGCTCAGCTCCATGTACTCCATCACGATGGCGAGGTAAGGCCGAGTCACACAAGCTCCGATGAACCTCACTATGTTAGGGTGATCCAGCTTGCAGTAGAGCGAGATCTCCCTCTCAAACTGCCTCACTCTCTTGTTGGACATTTGCTGATGCCTGAGGACCTTCACCGCCACCAGCTCTCCCTCTACCCATTCTCCGGCATACACATCTCCGAAGCTTCCATGGCCGATTTTCTGTGAGCTTAGCTTCAGCTCATCCACGCTGATAACACTCCCTTTGTATCTTTCAGCCGTTGGGTTCCTGTCGAATCCAGAATCATCAGCACCACCATCTTTTCCGTCTTCATCTTGATCATCGTCCTGATTTTCTTCTTCTTCTTGGTGAATCTTAAATTGGATCATGTCATCTTTGTGCCTGTCTATGACATCGTGAGACGTGTGCTGGTGGGCATCAAAGTCATCGCAGCTCTCGTCCTCAGCTCTTCTTCGTATCTCATTCTCTCTGTTGACCATTTCCAGGAAAGCGTCAAAGAGCTCTTGGCATGAAGAATCCTTGACATACTGGTCGGCAAAGTCATCTGGTATGTCATCATTCTGTAGAAGAAATGGTTGCAAAAAAATAGCTAAAGTTGACTGTAAATAATGTTTTTAAAAAACCTCATCAAGAGAGAGAGGGAGAGAAACAAGAGAGGGGGGATGTATAGAAACAAAACAATATACTGCCAATTTTAACATACATAATATAATTTGTTAGTTTCTCTAGTGTAGAGGTTCTCAAACCTTTTTGACCTAAGGACCCCCTAGTCAAAACTTATCCATGGACCCCAAAGTGAAAAAGCTACATAATTGCTTAGTATACAAATTAAGTCAAAGAACAGTACATGATAAATGTATAAAACAGCAGTGAGGGGCTACTTCATCATTCTTAAAATTATCTGATCGGATAAACTGGCTTTTAGCAAAGAAGTTATTTTAATTGTATACAATTTTCATGTTTCTGCTGACACACCCTGGGGGTGCGAGGACCACAGTTTGATAACCACTGCTTTAGTGCATATTAGTATAATGTGTTAAAAATTTAAATATTACTTGGGCACAACATGGCCTAAATTGTGCCGATGTGCCGTAAATCCAAAATATCAAAGATATTTAAATATTACTCATAATACTTACCATATCTAACTCATTCAACTTGGCCAGAAACTCGCCATGTGGTTTAGCAGAGAAGGATCCCCAAGGTTGACCAACTCTTCCCAACATTTGGTTCAGGGGTGTATCTTTGTATACTTGCTCTTCTTTAGGGATGGGCATGCTGCCCAGAGGCATGCCCACTCTATTATGTCTTCTGTTGTAATCATTATCAGCATAGACTTTCCTTTTTAAAAAAAAAAGTACAACTTGATAGGTTCTAATTATGTACATATGGAAGTAACATAAGTAAGGAGCTTCATGTTGAGACAAAGATGCTTACATATGCAGATAAAATTATAATACAACAGAAGAACTTATCTGAGACTGTTACTGTTGCAGTACATGTATTGACTATGGAATATATGAGTGGCTGGAAGTCTATTGGGTTAGCTATGTGCTTCCAACAGTAGCCACAATTGTCTAGCGTTATAACCCTGCCCTTCTGTCATTTGATGCACATATTGTGCGGTGGTTTGACAGCCTGCATGCCTCAATGACCCTCAGAGTTATATCAGTGGGAGCTCATCACTCCTGGCAGGTACTACCAAGCTGGACAGGTCTGTTAGGAAAGAGGCCAGATATAAGGTGCACCACCCACTCCAGGACATAGGGGTTGTGCGATAGGCTCACAACCTGTCCATAAAAAAATAACCATAGCGAAATCACAAACACTAAACATAGTCGAAGGCAAAAGTAGATCTCCACAAAGGAGATTTATGAAACTGTGCAGATTAACTCAAACTAATTTTGTAAAACTCTGCTTAAACCAATGAAAAAGCAGATCTTAGAAAGAAAGTGAGATGAATTGGTCATACCCTAAGAAAAGATGCCAACAACAGATCATAGAGAGTGGAACCCCCAGCTAAGACAGAGAGGAAGATGAAGCAAGAGGACAGAACGTATCAGAGACAAGCCAGACACTGTGGAGAGTGATGTGCTTTTACTGAGTCCCTATGTTCCATGGGAGGAAATAGCATGGAGACAGACTGTACATGCTGGTACAAACTTCGCCAAATGCAAAAGAAACGAAGCTGCGTCAGCCAAGAGAAAGAAAGCTGCCCTGTCAGCCTGCCCTAGCACAGATGCATATACATGCACGAACTGTGGCAAACTCTACTATTCCAGAATAGGCTTGATTAGTCACTCCAGATTCTGCCCCATCTCAAGAGATAAACAAAGCCAGTAACTCATCTGGGCGCATCCATTGTCTTCCAAAACAGAAGGAGCCATATTATCAATGTTCCATGATTATCCTCAATTGTTGTCGTATTCATCCTATACTAAACACAGGCATGTCCAAAATTTTGGTCATGTCTGTCCTATACTAAACATAGGCATGTCCTAAATTGTAGTCATGAACACTGTCCTACAATAAACAAAGTTATACTTTCCAAATCTTTCATAAATACTTATAATAAAAGTTTTAAAGAAGCAAAAATTATTATGAAATAATAAGCAGCCTACTACTTAAGAATAATATGAATTACTTTGAACCTCTGTTGGTGTTAACTTTAAACCGTGTCCCCACCCCCCCTCACCCCCAAAAAAAAATAAGTATGTGAAATCTTAAATAGAAATAAACTAACTTATCCACAACATTTCCAAGCTGACGTACAATGGGCTTGCCCACTCTTCCTAGCTTACGATTTAAATAGTTGTCTTTATAGCATCTGAAACAAAATTGAAGAATGAAAAACACATTGAAAAATTAGTTTAAATACAAATTAACAGCTTCTGTAAACAAAACAAAAAATATTTTGTATTTTTCAAATGTATTTATTTTTAAGCAGTCTACCTTGTGTTCTGTGAATTCTGGTAAATGGATGAGCGATTATTTCTGAAAAAAAAAAGGCAATTTTTTTAAAGAAAGTTAAAGCAATTCCTCTCTTTAGTAAAGTTTTATGTAAAGTAACCTAGTTGTCCTAGAGATAATGCACA